GGGGGGAGGGGGGTGCGCCGCCCATGATGAGGATTAGGGGGGAGGGGGTGGGTTTGAGGGGTGTGGTGATGATGGATGAAAGGGTGAAAATGGGGAGGAAAGGGGATGGAAATGATGAGTGGTTTCCCCTCTATGCTCACACACACATACACTGTGGTCCGAGCTGTCGGAGATAAATAGACATCTCCGGGTGAGATGAATCGAGGTGTACTCGAGTGCAGATTGACTCGATAAAACATCGAGGATACCTTAGCGATTCAAAAGTATAGATGGTATAACGATAAAGCTTGAGTTGTAATAAGTACAGCTTTTGTAAGGTCATATTTATACTTTTCGCATGGGTGCTTAAAGGTAGGTACCCATCAAAACAGCAAGGGGGCATGGATGGACGCCGTTTAGTGGCTTGATCAACTGCCGTTTCCGGCGTTGAGTGCTGCTGACCACCATAAAATCCTCCTGCAACAACAAGTGGTATTGGGCCAACGCAACAGATAATTTGTATTTGAAATAGCGCAACTTAACACTCGAGCTACGGGAGGGGGGGGTAGGGTATTGAGGTTGAGACGCTGGTGACGAACGGGAAATATGACGAGGTGACGGATTTGTCGGTTGAGCCGTGGGTGAGGTATATCCCGGGGGACAAGGTGAAGAGGATCAAAGTTTGAGGAGTCGAGTCAGTCACAGTTAGCAGCTTCCAGAGTTCAGAAAACTCCTCTTCCAGAAGCCAGTTTTAAAATCTTTGCTCAAAGTTGGAAAGCACAAGTTGAGTTCCCCAACCGCCACATGAAGCAAGCCACAGCCACTTCATCAAGACCTGCCAAGACAGGGCATCGCTATCTACCACAATCTATCCCGTCGTCTCCCAACCATGGACCAAATCAGGAGCAATGAAGAGATTTTGCACCAGTGGATCTGAGCTTGATTCACATGGCCCTCTTCTAGGGAATGGAAGGCTATTTCAGGGGAACAAAACTCTACTGTTGAGAGCATCGTCTATTCGGCATCGTTTGCTGAATAGCGACCCACGATATCCTCATTCTTCACAACTGTCTTGCTTCTTGCTGCCGAGAATAACAACACCACCGCCATCTTCTGGTATATTCGTCATAACGGAGTACTCCGACGAGTCCTCTCAACGCCAGCCCCGGACGCCCGCCTCCGTCACCATCATCGATTCGGAGGCCGCCCCCAAAGACCTGGTAGAAACCCTGCCCTCTCTCCCAGCATCACCCCCCCCCCACCCCCTCCCTCTACCTCGACCTAGAAGGGGATAGTTAAGAAGGGGTTTAAAAGGTGTAGGTGTTTGAAGCATGGGGGGTGTGGATGATTGATAGTGGGGAGAATGTAGGAGATGATATGGGAGTGGAATATGTGGACGTCTGTCTGTGTTGATTGTGAGCGTTTGGTTTGGCAAGAGGCCGGAATAAGGGGCCATGAGCATTGGCGCTTTGCGACACCAACCTCTGACTGCCGAACAAAAAGATGGAACAAGCGGGCTATTTATTGGACCTCAAGACAATTGCCATTTGTATTTTCGAGCCGCATCCTGCACTGTTTGGTTACGAGCAGCTTCACAACGGGCAATCTCTCGTGAAAATGGACAAGAAGAACACCCGGAACCAACTCACAATAGTATCAGCAGAAAGTTCAAGAAGAAAATTCAAATACTTCATCACCCCTTCCCTTCTCTACAAATGAAACCCAAACCCTCCTCCCAACCCCCAAGGCCCCTCATGCGTAACAACCTCCCCTCCCTCCCCTCCGAGAACAACAACCCTCTCAACCTTCACATCCGTCTCAAACCCAAACGTCCCGTTCGCAGCAAAGCTCTGCCCATCCCACACAAACCCGATCTCCGACTTGTTCCCCCCCACATCCAAACTGGCCCCGTCATCCAAGTACAATTCCCCCTTGGCAGTCCCGTCCTTCCCCGGCGCAACAATAATCCTAAAGTTCTTCTCCCTCAACTGGGCAGTAGTATTCGCTGATTCAGTCCTCATAGCAAGGATAGTCCCGCCTCGAATGTGAACAGGAATCTCATCCCACTGTACCCCGTCCAACCTGTGCGTTTGTCCACCCCCGGCCTTTTGCTCAAAAGTCCAAAAGTCATACCAGATATCGTCCGGAAGGTAGAAGCTGACGCTCTGGGAGTCGTCGTCAACAACTGGAGAAACAAGTAACGCGTCTCCAAGCATCCATTGGTTCTGGATGCCAAACGTGTTGCTATCCGAGGGGTAGAAGAACCACAGCGGGCTGGCGTTGGGCGTGCCGTCAGCGCTCGCTTTCCAGAGGGAGGTGTACATGTAGTCGAGCAACTTGTAACGAGTATCAATCGCCTTCTTGGCGGCTTGGGTGACCAAAGGCCACAGGTAAAATTCTTGACGGTTGGCCGTGATATCTGCGTGGTTGCGGTAGAAGGGCTGGAAAGCGCCTAGCAAAGCCCAGCGGGCGCACATTTTTTCCGTCGCGTTTTCGTTGAAGCCACAGACGTCAGAGCCAACAAAGGGCACCGCGTGCAGAGCAGTGAAGGACAACATTTGGCGGATAGTAGTTCGGTAATGATCCCACCTAGAAGCGTTGTCACCGAACCAATGCGCTGCCACTCTCCCCACGCCAGCAAAGGTCGATCGAGTGAGGACGAAGGGCCTGACAGCCGAGTTTCTGCTCAGCAGGGCGTTCCGGGTGGCGCCAGCCATCATGGTGCCGTAGAAGTTGTGAGTATCATACTGGTGGGTTCCGTCGGCATTGGTGATGTTCGTCCACAAAGTTTTGCTGGAGATGTCGCCCCATCGGTTCTGTATGCGATACAGGGGGTTGAAGAGATCTCTCTCTGGCACTCCAAGAAATGGAACTGGGTCCCCGTAACGTTTCCTGACCGCGATACCCTTGTTGGCAACCCAGGTTCGAGCAGATGTTGAAGCAAAGCAGCTGGTGCTTTCACACATGTTGCTCGCCTCATTCATGTCAACCCACAGCCCATCGACGTTGACGCCTGAGTTGGGGTCGTAGAACCTCCTGATCTCATCTGTCCACCATTCCTGTGTGTTTGGATGGAGCCAGTCAGGCCAAACCACTTCGCCGGGCCATTGAAACCCGCGATAAAATGAGCCATCTGCTGCTTTGAGAAAGACGTTCTGTTCGGCGCCTCTGGTGTAGGTTGGGTAACCACCAGCTCGATGGATTCCCGGATCCAGGATTTGAACATAGTGTTGTCCATTATCGTGCAGACTCTGAACCAGCTGCCGAACTTTCTCCAGGGGGTAACGGCTCCCATCCGTGGTGAAATCCTGATGGTCGCTCATGTAGTCAATATCACCCCACATCGTCTCCAATGGGATCCCAACAGCCGCGTAAGTGTCAACAACTTGTCTAACTTCATCAATGCTTTTATATCCATACTTGCACTGATGGAAACCCAAGACCCAATACGGCACAAACGCTGGGAGCCCGACAACTTCGGCATACTGCTTGCTGACGTCTCTTGGGGTCGGGCCTGCTAAGAAGTAAAAGTCGAATACGCCGCCGATCACATTGTACTCGAGGAATTGCTGTCCCTGGTCCGAGGTGCCCAACTTGACATCCATGCCGTTGGAACTCCGCAGAAACACGCCGTGCGTGCCTGACTCACCCCGATGGTCAAAGTACACCGGGTGCGAGCCGTAGAGATTGAGCCCGTTTGGGATCATGGGCGATTCCGTGTTCCATAGCGTGCGGGTGTAATTCCATGTTGGAAGGCGAAAGTCATCCGAGTGTTCGCCCAGCCCATAAATATTTGGATTCGACGGCAAGCGAGTTCTGAGTCGGATGTACTGGGTTTCAAAGATCAACGGCGTGTCGGCCGTGTCAAAAAGGGTCTCCCCTGTCGACGCTCTTGTAACGCTAAAGGCAAACGGGCTTTGGGTGAAACTGAACTGCAACCCAGAGCTGTTCGAGGACGCGTTCTCGCTTCTCGGTCGCGGGAGGACGTGTTCCTGGACTTGAAACACTTGGGAATCGGCATCTGTGATGAGGACATGCAGCCGTGAGTCTGTTCGAGTCAGTGACCTTAGACGGCATCGTGATACTTGACAAAAACATTGACGTGCTTACCTGTCTGGTACTCGACAAGCAACCTCAGGTTCTCGATGTCGCTGCTGTGAGAGCTGCAGTTGCCAATGAGAACAAGATCTGCAATCAGATACGAGTCCGCCTTCAGCACGTTGATGGCTTCGTAACCCGAACATCGTTCAGTCTGTCCCCGTGCCCCCCACAGAGAGCACAACACAAGAGAGGCGATCCAGAGAAACGCCATTCTGCAATGGAAGCTAGCAAAAAGCAAACAACACCAGAGCAAGCTGACCGGCATGTGGGAAGCAAGGGCAAGGAGAGGAGGAGATAATTGGACTCGCCAAAAAGATATCTGATCGCATCATCATGACCGCGGTGCCACCTCAACACCACCGGCGATGCGAAGATAGATTGGATGAACCATCGTGTTCGCATGTGGTGAGCATGCGGTCCCAGCAAGCTGCCTCCCGTGACCGAACAACACGGCTGGGCTGTAACGTGGTGATCATCAAGGTAGGTACCCCAACCCACCAAGAGTCTCCAATTCCTCCACCCGCATGATGGGGTGTTCTCCTCGGCGTCCCGTGGGACAGCATGCGGGGAATGCTGCCTGTGCGACAGGAGGAAAGCTTGGTAAAAAGACGGAGGCTGGGAGGAATGCATGATGAGATGCCCGGCCGTGTTCCTTTCCCCGGATTTCCAAGCTCCAACTGCCGGTCCGGGGTCTGTCTGTCCCACAGCGAGCGCTGCAACCTTCCCTTTAGGGCCGTGACTTGGGGTTCCAGAAAAAAGAAGCAGATGATCAGAGGCGGTCAGCAGCTCTCGGGCATTGAATTGTTTGTTGCGACAGTGCTGTGTACCACAGCAGGAGAAAATAGAGAGACAGAGGTCGTGCGTGGATGCCATGCGCATGTTGAGGTTTGGTGCGCCTCCAGGAGGACGGCCGTTTGGGTGCAATATTGTCCACGTCGAGCTTTCCGGTGCGGAAACATGCGGGCTGCCGCGGCTTCGTCTGGAGGTTAGGGAAGTGTGAGACAGAATTCGGCAACAATATAAGTTCTTGAGCCGAGAAAACCTTTCTGCAATGAGCTAAAAAATGTCGTGATGCGGTGGAGGGACGGGACTGACCAAGACCGAAAGAGAAAGAGTCTCTACTCCTCCTAAGAGGGTCTGCCGAAAATATCAAAAGCTCACCCACCAACCCGTGGGGTGATGGGCTACGAAAGCCGTCTCGGGGTCCGTTTGGCCATTTGGCCGTCGGATAGTGGGCTGCTGTTGGAAGTACTACAAGTACCGTGTACGGCTGCCAGTCTGTTGCCAGGTGTAGGAAGCTGGACAGGTGCTCCCACCACCCATCACTCACTTTCTCATGTGTAAATGCCGTGGCAATCAACGCCCATTCATCAGAAGGCATAACCTACAATAAGTGTAAAATACTTACCTATCCAATCCTAGATCTGACCTAAATACCTTACACACTAGGCTTCATACCCGAGTACCGAGTGGTTGGGTCCGAGGTGTTGGCTGTCAGGGTGAGAGCGGGTGATGATGGTAAGGGTGAGGGTGGAATGGTGGCGTTTGTGGCTACCGGAACGTTCACCGCCGGCATACAGTGGGAATCTTGATAGTCAAGAAGACACCTGAGAGCACGACGAATGCTCTGCGACATCGAGATTCATCTCAAGTTACAACCAATCACCACCACCCTTCCCCCAAATTATATACTCATATGTACACGCCCCAGCCCCCAAACCATCAGCAGATAACCCTATAAACCCTCTTCCACTTCGGCCAACTCGCCCTCTCCTCCTCCTCCTGCGCCTTGATAATCCCGAGTCTGCCAAAATCCCTCCTCCCCGTATCAATATCCATGTCCTCCACCTTGATCACGCTCGTCCTGTACCACAGCTTGTGCCCGATCAAAAATAACAACACCACCGGGATCGCCAAACACTGCAAAAAGAAATTCTCGGCCCGCTGACTCGACGTCAACGGCTCGCTCGTAATGGGCCAAATCGCCACCCAGCACTGACCGACGAGAATGAGACAGTTGCAAAACAGGCCGATCCAGCTGCCGATCGTTCCCCCCTGAGCACGAAAGGCCATGTCGCTGACTGATCTGTGATGGTACGCCCATGCCTTGCGGAGGCGGATGTGGGCGAGACAGGTGCTCCCCCAGGTGAAGACGCTGCTCAGGCCTGATATGGCGAGGAGCCAGTCGAACACGTGGCTGTGGACTTTGGAGTTGGCCATGAAGGCCAGGAGACCGACGCTCGATGCTGCGAGGATGGAAACTAGTGGACGGCCGCGGCGGTCGACGTAGGCGAAGATCTTGGGCGCCTGGCCCAGCTCGGCGAGGGCGGCGAGTGTTCGGGAGGATCCAAAGACGGAAGAGTTGCCGACGCTGATGACGGACACAAGGATGACGCCGTTCATGATGCTGGGTAGAATAGTCGTGCCTGCGCTTTCGATGGCGATGACAAAGGGACTGGCTGAGGCGTCGGCGATGCTAGTAGCACCAAGCAACCTGGGCTCGTTGTACGGCACCAGGAGACCGACAAGCGCAAGCGACACAATGTAGAAGAGTGTGATTCTCCAAAACACTTGTTTGATGGCGGTAGGCAACGACTTTCGCGGGTTGGCTGTCTCGGCGGCAGCCAACCCGACCAGCTCCGTGCCAGCAAAGGCAAAGGCGGCCGTGACAAACACGCTGCAGAGGCCCTTGAAGCCATTGTTGAAGGCGCCCGGGTCGGACCAGTACTTGCCGCCGATGTAGCCGCCTTCGGGGGTCCCTCCGATGTTGATAACGATACCGAGAAGGCTAACAGGGTGGTCAGCAACGTTCCACCAACAGGTAAGCACCCGTGCGAAACTCACATGAACCCGACGACAGCAGTAACCTTGACAATGGCAAACACAAACTCTGCCTCGCCGTACCCCTTTACTCCAAAGAGGTTGATGACAACAATGACCACCAGAAACACGGCCACAAATATGGCCTTGTTCAGACTCTCGTTCCAATAACCGATAGTCATGGCGCCGGCAATAATCTCGAGCGGTAACACCACTATCCACTGCAAGGCATAGCTTCAGTCACACCACGTTAGCATGCAACACCGGAACAACGGAAGAAAAAGGGTGACGCGGGATGTCTCCCCATCAACAGAAAAACGGTCAACAAAAACAACCTACTTCCAACCCATAGCAAACCCCCAACTCGGATCCAGAAACCTCGTCGAAAAAGCCGAGAACGACCCCGCGACAGGAAACACCACGGCCAACTCCCCCAACGCCTGCACCGTGCAATACAGCATCACGCCCACAAAGATGTACGCCAACAACACCGCCGCCGGCCCCCCCTCACTCAACGCCTTCCCACTCGCAACAAACAAACCCGTCCCGATCGACCCCCCAATCGCAATCATCTGCAAATGCCTCCCCTTGAGCTCCCGCGCAAGCAACGTCCCCGCCGTCCTGGAGTTCGCCGTCCGTAAGTCATAGTACCTCTCCCCATTATGCTGCCTCACCACCGCCACCCCCGAAGCAGAGCCAAACCCATTTGTTGTTCTGGTTGTCGTCGGTGAGTCGCCTGGGCCACCTTCTGGGTCAGTGACGTGAAGCGCAAAGTTGGGGTCGTCGTGGTAGCGGACGTTGTCTGGGTGTTCCCGGCGGAAGGTGTCGATGAACCTCCCCACGCGAGCTTTCATCCCTCCGGCACCTACACCGACGGTATTATGAGGGTGGTGGTTCTGGTGGTGATGCTGATAATGATGATGATGATGATGATGATGATCAGGATCCGAGGCCCGACTTTGACCCCGGACGGTGAAGGTGCTGCCTTCGGCTAGACTGCGGGTGCGATCCAGCTGGCTCATCTCAATGTCGCGGTCGAGGGTCATCTCTGTCGGATCATTGGAATGTTGAAGGCGACGGGGATGGCGAGCGAGATCAAAAATGGCGGGTCTGACGGCGAGATGGTGGGTTGCACAACCGTGTCTCTCAACGGCCCGCGATTACCATGCGTTGGTGAGCTCCGGGTTTGTTTTGTTTGATTTTCTTTCGCGATGAATCCCACCGTCGACAATAGCGTTGTTCGGCCTGGCAGCTGAGTGAAAGTGGCCCCCCGAATACCGGGCAAGAAACGGAGACAACGGCAGGTGACGGGTCCACTGATAAACGGTTGTGTTCGTGGAGAACCCCTGGCGCTGGGTCTGTTGTAGATGGGGACACCCTAGGAGATAAGAGCCGTGGTGGCCTGCCGTTCGCAACGCCGTCTGTCCCAGCAGCTAATGAAATTTCCACAGCGTAATAAACGGACCGTGAAGGGTGACGGTGACAGCGTGTATGTGAGAGATGGGGAATCCAACATGGAAATTTTCTGCAGCAGGAGATGACGGGTGGGTGGGTGTCGTGGGTTTGTCGTCTAGCGGCGTCAGAGAGATAAGAAAAGATGGGCGGTCCTGCCAATATTTGCCCCGCACTGCCTGCTGCTGCTACTGCTGCCGCTGCTGGAGTCTCCGAGTTGGGGGTGCTTGTCGGTTGACTGTCACCTCGGAGGATTGCCGATCCAGCCGTTGAGGGTGTGAGAGGTGGTGGTGATGCCCCTGTTGGACGGGAGTGTCGACTGATGCTGCTGGTGTCAACACTGTCCTATCGGCAGGCTGTCTACATATCTCATCAGAATGCAAGAGGACAAAGGAAAGGATAAAAGGCGAAATGATGCCAACCATGATTGCCATCACCCTAAGATTGCTGGGGTCGCAGCGAATCGAGGGTCCCCGACGAACAATAGGTGTCGGTGGCCCCACCGTGCCGCCCTCCACCAACAACTGCAGTCGCCTGAACCAAGCCGACAGGGGTTTGCTCTGGGTTGCATTAGCGCCTTTTGGGAACCGATTGCGTGGTTTTCGGGTCTGAGACCTCAAAGTGTACCTGATGGACGTGCCTCTGCTCCCGAAGTCTGTGGGAGAGTGTGGGTGACGGGAGCTGCCCGTGCTGCTGCTTGGAAAGGGGGGGTCTAATACTTGGAACAATGCCTGTGGCGCACATGACAAAGGCCTTGTTTGAGATTGCTGAGGTCTCTTACTCCGCCGTAGCAGAGACAAGCATCAGTGACTGTGGTGATCACCGTCAACAACCCAACAACCCAACAACCCACCCCCAAATCCAGCTCATCAGCTATTGTCCGGGCATAGAATAACAAAAAAAAAAAGAGCGGTGGGATCCGGCCGAGGTGATCTTCATGAGATGCAACAACTGCCTGTGGGCCCAGGACCTGGTATGCCACGAGCCACGAGGGTCGTGCCGCTGGAGAGTCTTGTGTCATGCCTGGGAGGGAGCTCCACAAACGATGATCCCCCCCCGCCCGCACCCCCGCAGGATTCAGGGCACGCCGCACACTCCACCTGGGAAAAAGCAAAATCACGACAAAGGTCAGGTAGGTATCATCATGTTCAGAAAGCAAACACTAAAAACACTAAAACTAATCGTAGGATAAGGTACCTCACATCTACCCGTCAGCGCTGTTGCTGCTCCGTCTCCTCGTTTTGAGCGTCTGGCATCGGTTTCATCTCGCGAAGAAGGATGCTGGACCCCCTCCCTCGTCCGTTTGCCGTCGCTGTCACCACCCCGTGAATGGGTGTCAGACAGAGCCCTACGTGGGCCTGCTTTTTGCACCGAACATGTTCCTGGTCATCAGACGACGAGACTGTCATCTCAAAAGTGGTGGTCTTGACCACTTGGGTGGCAGGTGTCTGTCGACCCCTAGGAATCAGCGAGTCCATGCTGGCTGACCGACTGCTGTGGTGCACCCTGGGGGACTTGATCTCCCTCTTGGCTTGCTCGATCTCTCCTGGTGTCGAGGAGATGTCGGGCGTCTTTGTACGACTCAGCCCTCCGCGTTTTCCTTCAGGATAATCCGCCTCCATGTCATCATCCTCATCCCAGGACGGCTTCTTCGAGATGGCCATCGAATCCTTCCTCGAGTTTCTTCTGTTTTGCGACTCTGTCGGCTCGTATTTGAACTTCTTCTTCTTGACACCCTTGTCTCTCATAAACGTCCCGATGGTAAGTGCGTTGGCCGCAAATGTTGCCATCAGGATATCGGCCGAAGCCCATGTCGTCCTCGTCGCTTGGTATCCCTGCTCGCTGATGATCTGAGGCACCCGACAGATGGTCACCACCACCGTAAAGATGTGGAGACAAAAGAGGGCAACCAGCAGCGACTTGTGTCCCATCGGCAGTCGGCTTTGTATGACAATGGGCACAGGGAACACAACCAGCAGCAGGTCAGTAGCCGCGTTACAAACTGATGCCGTGAGGAGGTTTGCGTAGCCCTGACGACACTGCGGTCCCGGGTCCGGACTGACCTGCCAGTACTTTGCGAACGGCTGGCATTCCGCAAGATCACTGACGACAACCGCCACAAAGGTCGCGACCAAAGCAATGCGCATCGACCGAAGGAGCAAGGTGTAGCGGTTCCTCCCAGAAAGTCCAACCAGGCGATCAAAGAACTCGAGAGTAACCAGCTTGAGCAGCCATAGTCTGAGAAACATAATGTTAGCCACCGAGTTGCTTGCCCAAAACTGTCGAGGGACCTTACACCACTGCGTACAGCATACGACTGATCAGCACCAGTCCGCTCCCAATGGCCCGCCGCCGGAGCCCCTCGTCCGACAAGTCCAGCTCATCGTTCAACTCGACATTGTTGGTTCCAAACAAGAGAATAGGGTGCACAAAGGCCATGCGCAGGAAGAGGGGTATCAACACCAGGGCGGCGACCTTGTCCTCTCCAAACAGCTTCTCGACCCGCACAAACCGCCCCACGAGACGGAGGAGAATGATGAAGGCACATAGCAGCGTGATCCACCACGATGTCAAGAGAGTCGGCTTGTCCTCGCTGAAGGGCCGTGCCGGAGGCGGAGACGAGTAGAGAGTCATGGTTGCTGGCTCATGGCTCCTGTTGTGAGGAGCAGGTGTCTTGCTTGAGGCTCGTCAACGAGCTGCCTCGGCGCAAAGTGATGTTAACGAAGATGTTGAGGTGAAAAGAGGCTCAAGTCGCCAAACGTGATCGGCAGCCAGAAAGTGACCCCCAAACGAGAGATCAACAGGGTCTAGATGTTCTCTGTGGATCTCGACTGGAGCCCCGTCATCCTCTCTCGAGGTTGGCGTCCACAGGTGTCGGATCTGCTACCAAATTCGTCCGGTTGGCAGCTGGGAAGAGACATCGAACCACCAGCTCTTTTGCGCTTGAGCCGGGCGTGATTGGTCCAACATGTCTGTCTGCACGGCATGGTTGTGCAAGGTGGTTTTGATGTGGGGTGTCTCGCCTGCCCAGCAGTAAGCTGTTCTCCACGTGTGAGAGAGTGTCGTCCAGGGGCCAAACAGATACCACTTTCCTCAATTGATTGCCGTACATACACAGCCAACCTCGTTCCAGCATGACGGTACGGCTAAAGGCCCTGGGACTAAGCTGTCTGAGCGGTGATAACCTCGTGGTTGACAGATGTCGGGTGTCTGGCAAGCAGCGTGTCAGTCAGCCTGTCTCTCCGTTGACCTCCTTTCTTGCGCGGCTTCGTGTTTTTCTTTCTAGAAAAGACACCGAAGCCATCCCCCGAAACCTTCCATGCAGCATTAGAAGACGCCACTCTCGCGTGTCTTGACCGAAACCAGTTCAGCACCCGCAAGCCACACACAATCCTCTGACGGCCCGGCCCCTTTTGCGCGAAAACGTTATCAAATGACGTTGCGCTAAAGAGAATCAGCGCCCGCCAAGCCCGCATACACAGGGCAAGGATCAGGGGCACTGATAATCACCCCCTTGTACCCTTGTAAAAGTCACATGTCTCTTTGCCCTCCCTTTCTCTCCCTCTCTCTCACAACCCACATCCCGAAAACAAACAAGTATCTCATGATGATTGCCGTCAGCCTCAAGATCACCCGAGGTCTCTTTTTTCCACATACCCAAGATTGAATATGCACAAGCAAGTGACCCCCCAACCATGATCCAAACCGGTCAAGACGCAGTATGCAGGGGCAAATCCCACCTCTCCTACATAATACTCTGTCCCGAATGAACGCCGTCCAAAGTGCCGAGAACATACCAACCCAACGGTCAACCAGCTCTCGTCTACTCACCAGTGACAGCTCATCCGGGTATTCTAACCTGCACCCAAGCGCTATCAACGCCTTTTGGCCGGTGCAGCAAGTAATATGGAACCGTCCACCCGGCGCTCGCGTTGTATGTCGGAACCAAGCGTCGGTAATGAATCCTGTTGGGAAAAAACACGCGTCGTATGCGGGAGATGTGCAGCCCTACTGTACCTTATGTAGCGACGAGATATAGTACCATTTTATCACAATCACCAAGAGAATCTCTCACCCATTATGGAGAAAAAAAGTATGAGAGAGAACGGAAGGTGGTGCCAACACAACTCAACCTACCGACCGTCATCGATACCGATACTGGCAGCGGGGAAATGAGAAATCGTCTGCATATGCCGGTGATGACTTCCATCACCGTGAAATCAGTCCAACACCTCCCTACACAGTCAAATAATAATATCGAGTGGCCACATCCCACTCCAGCACCACCTCAGCCTCCATCTCCCCAACCCCAACCACCACCTGCATCCAAAGCCCAACATCATACGCCCCCGGCAAGATAGCAGGCACAACCATCGCACAGAGATACCTCTCCCCCAAGTTCTCCCCCCCATGATTAACCTGCACCCCAGTCAAATCCCTCACCCTCTCCCCCACCGCATCAGCCCTCGACAGCACAACCCCCATCTGCTCCGTCCCCATCTGCGCCCCCCCAGTTTTCCCAACTGAACGGTAAGAGACAACCATGCCCGGCCTAATCCTCTCCTTGAAGGGGACATCCCTCGCGTGCGGCGGCCCTTCGATATCCGCGCTCGAGTAAAGTCTTTCCATCCTCGTCAACTTGACCTCAGGCTTCTCTTTGGAGTGCTGGGAAGAGGACTGAGAGCGCAAGTTATCAACATGCAGCTGCCAAAACTTGCTCTGAAACGCCGTGGCCTGCTCCATCGTCACCCCCGGAGTCTTGAGACACCTCTCCACAAACTCCCCAACAGGCAACCGTAAAAGCTGCGCTCCCGATTCCGTCGGGGCGAGGACGTTTCCATCAACAGGAGGGGTTCCCGACTGTCACCATCCCATCCGGCCTTGTTAGCCTTTGCATATCATTTACACTCAGAAACCCATCAAAACTCACATTCTTCCCCACCCACTCCCTCACCTCCCCATTCCCCCACGTGACCGGCCTCTTCTCATCATATTCTTGTACCTTCTTCCCCGCCGGCCCAGCCGTAACCCTCAACAACTCCGCATACCGCAACGTATTCCTGCTGGCCTGCGTATCCGCCAAGCAAGGATTCACACACGCCACCACAACTGTCTTTCCCCCCCTCACCCCCCCCACCGGGCTCGGATCAAACACATGCTTCAACGTCTTCGTCAGTGTGCTCTGCCTAAACGGCACATGCGCCTTCTTCCCAGACCCGGGATCAAGATCAACCATCGCCCTCCCCCTGATGCAGTCTTTTAGAACAGAGAGGCTGGTGTTGATCTCTCTCGCTTCCCTCATCCTCGCCGCGTCGTGGGTGGACTTGTCGCGGGCGGCTTCCGACCCGGCAAGGTCAATGAGGTAGAGGAGCCCATCTTCTGCTGCCGGAATAGAGGGGTTCTCGATGCGGATGCGGCAGATGGCGTGCGAGCGGGAGGACGAGTCGTTTTTGAGGGTTGGGGCCGTCTTTCGGAGGGAAGACGCGGTGGAGATTAGGGAAAGAAGGTCGGCCTTGGACGTGAGGGGGTGTTCTTGGGCGCCGGCGAGCTGGGTGTTGCCTAGGGAGTCTTCGAGGATGGAGATTTGCTTGCGGGAGTTGAGGAGGTCTACTCGCCTGGCGTTAGTTGGGGGGTCAAGGGGGGGAGGGGTGGTTGCTTGCCAAAGGCTGTCTGTCCGGCTAGTTCAATAACAGACATGCACAGCTTCCTTTCTCCCTCTAGGGTACCATCCATCAGCGTTTCTGCAACGTGCTCCTCCAACCCGCTGACGGTGAAGGTTTTGCCTGATCCTGTCTGCCCGTAGGCGAACATGGTGCTTACACCTCCGCCCCAGGCCCAGGGGACGAGGGGCTGGATAATGGCATCGTAGATTTGCTTAGTGGTGCTGTCGGGGCCGAAGACGCGGTCGACCCGGTAGCTGAAGGACTGCTCTTGTTAAAAAGCTTGCACTATTTCCAAGCACTGATTGACAGTGACTTACATTCAGACAAGGCAGCCCCCTCACTGACTTCTTGAGCTCGTGCAAGTCGACGATATTCGCACCACCAGGCCGTGAACAGACACCCTCGAGAAAGCCCTGAGAGATCTCATCTGGCAGCAGTGGTCTGATGCGAGTACTGACGAGAAAGTCGGGGTTTGTTGAATCCGCTTTGACTGGAGCCGCGGGCTTGGGGTTGAAGGCCTGAACCAGCTCCTTGTAGCGGTCGGCGTTGTCGATGAGAAATTGCTCCATGATGACTGATATCTATTCAAGCTCAGTGAGGATGCAAAGATAAAGAGTTTGAGAGAAGCGAAAAGGATCCTGATGGTTGTCCTTGGAAGTCGTGAGCAGTTAATGTGCTGAGTGAGCACTGGGACCAAACCCCTAAAAGCACAGCTATTTGGGTCCACAGCGAGTTGCCCCGCAACGTCACTGGTTCACTTGTTTGCTGGCCAATCCCCTGAGTTCAGGCAACCAAGCGTCGGCCAACGTTGACTGACTGTTCACAGACATCAGAACATCGACACTGATGCCTAGCAAGCGGCTACAGGTGGCTACCTACACATTACGTGAATGTCTCGTATTATCACCGACAAGAATGAAACCACACGCCAATGTTTACTTGGCAAACATCGTGACCTGGCCAGCCCCGCCCCCAACGGCCTTCACCCTCGACCCAATATCCAACGGACTCCCTTCGGAGATCACAAAATGTCCCGACTTAGATCCAGGCTGCTTCAGTCCCAGAAGCTTGTAAATGTTACCACTAACCAAGTCAAGGGCTCCCTTCTCATCCACCTTGCCGCCGCCGTTCCGGTACACAATCCCAGCCAGCAAGCCCAAGTCCCTCACCAGCCAGTCCTCCTCCAACCCGATGGCTGTCACCACACCAGCCTCCAACAGCTTGTCAACCGCGGTTCCGTTGGTGAGGGGAGCACCGGTCAAAGCCCGCCTCTGATCCCAGCTGACAGCATACGACTGCAAGGGGGCTAATACCACACCGACCTTGGCAGCCGCCAGCTCCTCGGCGACGAGCCAAGATTCAGCACCACCCAAGATGACCAGTCGAATAGACGCCTTCGTCACCTCATCCACCGCCTTTTTGACCTTGATCAGAGCCCCGATGGTATCGGCGCTGTGGACTGTGATGACAAGAGGCAGAGAGCCATTGACCACCTTTTGGAGGAATGCCGACTCCGAGTGCACATCCTTTGTCGTCTCATCAGAGCTCAGCGAAGCGTGGGCCTCCAAAAGCTTCCGACGAAGGCTTCCAATAGCGGCCGAAATAGAGGGCGTGCCATCCTGTTTGACTGAAGTATCAAAAGTGTAGTGGGCTGACACATCACTTGCGAAAACAGCGTCCTGTCCCACCACCGTCTTTGCGCCGGTCAAGAACCCCACGCTCGTGCCATGGTGACTGAAACCACCCCTGAATGAGGGAGCTGAAATCGCCTTGGTGACACCATACGTGTAGGACGCGTTTGTCTTTTGGTTGTCGAGAACTAGACCGTCCTCTGCTCGGACAAACGTATTGGGATTCGGCCCGTTGTCGGTATCATCCTCTGCATCAATAGCGTTGAGGCCGATCTTGGAGCCAAAGGCCGTAAAGGACTCGGTCAGGTATCCGTCCTTGAGCTGGATGACGGGGGTGTTCGACTTGGTGGCGGCCTGCAGTTCGTCTTGACAGTCCCCAAGACAGGTCAACTGGCCCTTGGAAAAGACCACAGCAATGCCCTTGGCACCGATCTTGCGATCCACACTGGTCTCGTCGAGAAGGACATGAGTCACCCCGGTAAATACCACCTCGTCCGCTTGAACAGGCTCGCCTGGGAGATGGGCAAGATCTTTGTCGGGAACGATAAGCTCCACGGCCGGCTTGTCCAACTCCACTGGGTCCCTGAGCTGGGCTGTTCCGTCAATCCAAACTTGGACTGGCGCGGCACCGACGCTCAACGGGTCACTGTCCCAGACCACAACGTCGGCGTCATATCCGGGCTTGATCTTCCCCAGCCGCTGCCCGAACCCGAGGCGCTCTGCGGGCGCTGCGGTGACGGAAGCAAGAGCCGCATGGTATGGCAGACCGTATTTGTACGCTTTCGCAGCCTCGAAAAGAACATGCTGGGCATTCAACACCGGGTTGTCGCTGACATAGATGGGCGTCAGGCCGCTGTCCCACAGCATTTTCCCAGCAAATTCGCTCGCAACATTGGCCTCGGCCTTGTAATACATGTTATCCGCAAACAAAGCGGAGGCAGGAGGGTCTCCACCATAGGCACGTTTGAGAATCTGGCAGACCGTTAGTCTTGAGGCGACACACCCATCATGTCACAGACAAGCACTCACCTCGGGGACCAAAAATGTCTGGTGGGCATGGTGGAATGCTCGGAGCTTGAACTTGAACTCGTTCGTGTGGTCGATGAACGCCTCCAAATCGCTGATGGTGTAACAGTGCGTGTTCAGGTGCACCTGGCCGCGTAACAGAGCACCGAGCGACTCCCACCTTAGCTCCTGTGGAAGGTAGCTCCTGTGGTTGTGCACGCCATGGGCCGCAGCGGCGTCACACCAGTCATCTTGCTCCCGCACCACTTTGGTTGCCTGTTCAAAGGCGTGGCGAAAGTCCCAGCTCTCGCCCATCCGGCTCATTGGCCCCGCCTCTCCTGGTCTTCCGTAGACTCGTTTGGCATTCTCACCACACGCCATCTTCATGTACCTCCAGTTCCGGTCAGGGTCAGCCAGCAGGTCGGCGGCGCTTGTCTCGTTTCTCCCATCAGCCTTTCCAACAGCGTGCTTGATCACGTATGCCTCACCGCCCATGTTGTTTCCGGACCCTGGCAGCACAAGACTTGTGGTTACGCCGCCGGACTTGATCACCTGGATCTGAGGGTCACCTGGGTGAAGGGCGTCGATGGAACGCACAAAGGGACTAATGTTGGCCGACATCTCGTTGGTATCCTCGTTGCCCCAGAGACTAGGCAGCGATCCCACACCAGCGTGACTGTGCATGTCGATGATGCCGGCCGTCAAGGGCCGGCCACGTGCGTCGAACACGATGGTGTCAGACGCGACAGAGGACAGGCCGATGGCGGCCTCGACCTTCTTGATGAGTCCGTATTCCAGGTAGACATCAGAGTGGATCCAGCCGTAGCCTTTTCCGTTGCGAGCAGCCTCGGGGTCGGTGCCTTCTTTTGGTTCGCCAACCCAGACGGTGGCGTTCTTGACGAGCGTGGGGGCATGGCCGTCGATGTAGCGGCTGTTCTTCTTGCGTCCGAGGCCGATGGGATCCTGAGGTTTCTTGCGCAGGGCACTACACGTGGCAAGGTCGTCCTGCAGGCGCTTGACCGAGAGGCCGTGTACTGTGATGTCCGAACCGGCCGGCGGTACAGAAGATGGTGAGTGTTGGAGCTGCCTCCACTGGGCGTACGCGATAAAGCACAAACACGCTGAGAGCAACAGGCCGGCTGTTCTCCGAGCTGTCCTCCGAGGCCTGCTGCGCCCTTGCCAGCGCGGACGCCCAGGCACGGGCTGTTGAAGAGGCAGACGACGCTTTCCGTCCACGTCCATTTTGACCAACGGAAGACTGTTGGATGGAGAGAAGAAGAGAAGAGAAGAGAAGAGGGGATGGAATCGTCACCTCATCCATTCCAGTGCCCGTTGTTTGCGCTGAGTGGGGGGCATCTGCTGGCGGCGATGTGATCGGCCAAGCGAGCCAATGAGGGGTTGTTGACAGATGAATAAGAGAACCCACCAAACTATCTGCTGCTAACTTTGAAGCGCCATATCTTGCAGGGAAGAAGATAGTGCAAGTTGGCTCTCTAGGCCATGGGGCACACACCAGTTGCGCCATCAGCCTTCTAGGGTGGGTGGTGTGCCCCTCTGCTCCAAGGCTTATCTCAACATCAAGGTTGACAAACCGTGAGGTGTACCTGAAGGGCGCCAGGTGTAGCCTCAAATGCGGTTGACCACGACTAGCAACCAATGTCAACAATCCACTGCAGAAATGAGCATGGCGCAACAATGGCTACTCTGGTGCTCCCAAGGCAATCACCAAACAACCGGGCCGGGCTGCGGCTCTCTCGGGCCAACCTCATAAAATGCCCTCGATAATAACAACCCTCTCCTTGCCCGGTGGAAGAGTACCCTGTTCGAGCACACGCCCTCGGGGATGACTACAGACAATATGCCACCAGGATACTATGCCTCATCGACCACAGCCAAACTCGCCCTGCGAGATGGCACATCCACATCACCACCGACACCCGAAGAGACATCAGGAGTGGTGATCCTGCTGGCCGTCCTGGGAAGCGCCGTGTTTGCTCTCTTGTTCTTTTGGGCAGTGAAGCGCTGCTACTGGGACGCGTGGTGGTATTCAGGTACCTACTACCCAATACCTGCACCTCGGCCTGTGGAAGTAGTGTGGGCGCCGAATAATAGCAACGACTATTGCTCAACTTGTTCAGGCGAATCCCACATCACGGTTCCCAGTACGAGCAGTCCATCTTCATCTCCGTCGCTTTCTGTCAAGCCTGGGTAACCTGCAGCTTTTCCTTCCTGCTATCTCTTCTGTTCTTTGCCTTGAATTAGTGCTGACGGTCCGACAGCGCCAGCGCGGGTGCGATTCGTCTGATCAGCAAGGTTGTCGGCGACGGCTTGGAGGATGACGAGACGATTAAACGCAACATGATAATGCCTAATGATGCCACGAATAATGAACCAAGGGGTGGAATGTTTTGGAACAAGGGAACCGGAGCAAAAGCAGGTGCAAGAACATGTGTGGACTTGAAACAGCTGGACTCGGGGCCTTTCTCGAGCACAGTCATGTCACAATGTGGCACCGGGACGAGAGGTCTCCAGGAACAGAAGCAGGTCGAGGATTCTAAATCGTGTATCTTGATGTAGTGTCCGAGATCAGCAATTGACCAAGATTACGATGCTGCAGAGCCCCCCCTCCGGAAGAAGGAAAGGTGGATCAATGGTTGCTGCAAAGCCCCCAACATGCCACGCCGTATCCGCGAATAGGACGTGACAGGACGCCCGACGTGCAGCTGGAGGGAACCCCGCCAAGTCTCGCCATTGCACTGCAACATGCCATTCGGATTGGGCCGCAGCATCTGCAACTCTGCACGACAACGCATCCACAATCTCGCCAACTCCAGCACCAACCTCCTCTCTATCCATCTCTCAACTATTCCGTCGCAGATGCTGGGGACACCCTAAACCACCCTCGCGTCGTTGAGGCCCGTGAACTCAGATGCAGCCGTACATCGTCGAGGACCAGTACGCTGACCCCGTGCCTATCATCGACGCATGGGCAGCATTCCTCGCCGCCAGGTTCTCCAGGAGAAAAGATCTCTATGCAAGCTTTTCCGGCCCGGAGAAAGAAATTGTCAGAAAGGAGCTGCGTCGCATCGGCTTCTTGAGGGACTATTTCTCGGGCCATCGGCTCTCCCAATCTGACCGGATCACGCTGCTCGAGTCTCTCCAGCGAGCTCACACCACTTGGAGAGAGAGAGCTTCTCGTCGTTGCAAGGAGGATCTTCCCCGTATCGAGGTTGAGATTGCCAGGTCATCTGGAACCCGCCGGCAGCAGCATAACCGGGACCGTCTCATTCTCAAGCAAGTGCAGCAATGGCCGACTCAGCAGTATACCAGCCTTCAGCGATCAGTGGCACCCGACAGCTACATTGAGGGCCTTTACTCGCAGGAAGACAGCATCGACGATGACCACACCGTGTCGAATTACGGCTACAATGGTTGGCTGATTCAGTTTGAGAAGGGCAAAGGCGGCGTGGACTTGGACCATCCCCTCTGCCATGGCAGGTTTCCACACCAAAAGATTGCTGTGCAGAAGCTTCTGTACGACAAGAAGCAAACACCGTTGAGACGAAGCCAAGACCGGACAAAGCTACGATACTTTCACCTTCAGGCTAATAACATGAAGTGGGTTGAGGTACGGAGCAGACCATGCGGTCCGTGGCGCTGTATGCTAGCTAACCAAGCTCAAGGATGCCATCTCGCGATACTATGGCGAAGACGACTCTCGGTTTGACGCTCACCGAGGACTGCACCAGAGGAAGCTGTTCCAGCCGGGGGCCAAGAAGTCCGAGTCGAATACTGAGAAGCTTCTGAAGCGCGAGCTGTGGCACGGCCAAGAACGAGGCGGTGGCGATAGTCACATGCCTCCTCACTCACGCCAGATACGCCCCCGTTGCGCTCTTATTCCGTCCCCTCCGCCGAAGCAGGGAGCCAGGTCTCCGGCCGCGTCTGCAACACACGCGTATCATCATTCTTCCTCGCAGCTGCAAGATGTTGTGCTTTTTGTAAGTGAGCCTCCTCCAGATGACACTGACAACTGCCCATGGTCTGACCGGAGGTACAGATGCCTTACCTGCACTGGGAAATCGAGAAGAGGCTTGTCAGAATGACCAATGTGATGCGCAAGACACGACTCGAGAACGAAGAGGAGTTTGCCTACGAGCGTCTGAGCAAGCGGAAAGGGACTTGGGGCAGCGTTGTCGACAGAGCTCGAGCCCGAGCTCAACGAATGAACAGCACCACGTCGGAATTCGGGGAGTGGGACGAAGGGTCCCCATCATGGAGGCCGCAATCGCCTCTCGGGAGCTACCTGTGGCAGGCGTCGAAGCTGTATCAGCTCATAGACGAAGCGGCAGACTGGCGCCTGATCACGAACCACCTTTACTCACCATCGCCCCTTCACCCACGAAGGACGCTTGAGCAATACTACTACTGGACGGCGGACGACACAACGCAGAGAGATCGTCAACAAGTTGTTTACCGGGCCACGCAGATGAGAAGTGACCCAGAGGCTATCCCAAGGGTGGTGATGGTTGACCAGTTATGGCTGTGGATCTTGGACGAGAGTGAGCTGCTTGTTTACGACTTGGCTCCAGACTTTTGCTAAGGAAAAGCTACAGACACCATTCTATCTGCCTTTCCCCGACGGTGGGGCCGCAACAAGCCAGACCCGTCTGCTGTGCATCGCGCCATTCGAGATCACCTGGGAGCCATCGACCATGCCCAGATCACCTCGGTCTACGACTTGGCGTTGATCATCATTGACGAATGTTCCAAAGTGTTCTTCGACCGTACCAAGCCAGACCTCCGACCCGAAGTGGTAGACATGTTTAGTTCTGCCATTTCAAGCATTGTAAGTTCACCAACCTAGCAGTGCGCCCGCAAACCAGCCACTAACATGGAAGGCGTCCAGTCAGAGAAGAAGACCGACGCTTACGAACGTTTTGGAAGAGATGTCAAGAGAATGAACACCCAAGACCCACTCCAGACGGCAGAGGAACTGCTGAGAAAGTCTCTCAACATCAAGTTCGAATGGTCGGTGCTGATGGAGGCGCAGAACCTCATAGACCAACTTCAGATCATGCAAGAGATATTCACCCAGCAGATAACCGTGATGGGCGACTTTGAGAAGGCGCTCAGGGCCATGAGCTCGGAATCTCAGGGCCCTTCTGATCTCAAGCCTGCTCTCGCACGGGCAGCGGCTCTGATTGAGGACATGAAACTACGCCGGGATGAGCTTTGGAATTTGGAGAAGAGACAGGCCAATACTCGGAGCCAGGTGACTGTCTCCTATCACATCGTTATCGCGGATCTGGGTATACTGACAGCAATTGCTGCAGCTGCGAGAACTCCTCGACATGAAGCAACAGCAGTCGGGAATTATCGAGGCCAAGGCCGCCATCCGCAGGGCAGACGAGAGCGTTGTGCAAGGCAGATCGATTGTCGTCTTCACCGTGGTGACCATTTTCTTCGTAAGCTGACCTGTCCTCCTCACTGCCCCCCGCTATATTATAGCCTTGTGACACGGGTGCTGACCAGCTGCGCACATCATCAGCTTCCTCTCTCCTTCTTCGCCACCTTCTTTGGCATGAACGCGCAAGAGTTAAACGAGGGCTACATGAGGCTGAGTACCCAACTTGTATACATGTGTGAGTTTTTGGAGCAAAATACGGACTTTTGTAGGTACGGGCCGAGCGGCTGACGTTGTACTGCCACAGTTGTCCTGTCAAGTATCGTCATCTGCGCCTCACTGGCTCTCGCATTCAACACCTGGGCTCGGACAGCATTTTTTTCTGCATTCCGGGCCATCTTTGATGCTGCGAACAAGGTCGGGGGCAAACAGTCTGCCCGAGCTGCAACACAGTTGTCAAACGCCTCGCCGCGTGCTCTGCGAGAGTTTATGATTGAAAAACGAAGAGAACTGGAGATCAGAGATCAGGAGAATGGTGTTGCTCTGGCTAGCGGGGCGTTGCCGTTGCATCGGAACGCCGGCGCGGAACCACAGGGAGGAAGACGGCCGAGTCGGGCGAGCACGATTGCAAACATGTGGAGGTGGAAGTCAGTGTGATGATGCCAATCTGACAATTAATCGTAATGTGTATATATCTGTCTATCATGAGGGGTATCATCTAGAACCGAAACGCCTGCCCATGTGATGTCGAGAAGAAAATGTAACCCTAGATCCTTCTACCTCTCCGCCTCCTTCAGCACCTCTCCCGCCAGCTCGAGTATCTTGCCATGCACGCTCTCATCGGCCGTGATCAGCCCCCAGTTATTCGTCAACTTCCTCCCCGTCCCAAAATCTATCGGTCTCCCTTCCAGGTCTGTCACCTTCCCGGCCCCCGACTCCGTGTAGATGAGCTGCGAACCCGCATGATCCCAGACGCACCACGGCGCCGCCTCCCCTTTCGGTCGTTTCGGAAACCTCACCTGGGCAAACTCCCGCCCTCCCAAAACCATAGCCGCATACCTCATGTGCGAAGAGTAAATCTCGGTCCTCTCCCCCGTCCTCCCCGCCCCGGCCCTCCTCGCAAGCTGTTCCACCATCCCACTATCCGTAGCACAGCTCACCCTCGAATCCACAAAATGCAACTCCTCCGTCCTGATCTCCCGCTGTTTCCCCTTTCGCCTGTTGATCCTCTTGACAACCTTGTTCAACCCCGCCTTCCCCATCGATCTCACAAGTGCGCACCCCTCCCCCCGCACAGCACTCAGCATAACCCCCCACCCCTCCCTGTCCACCTCGCCCTCCTCAATCCTCCCCCCACCGACCACCACCCCAATCCCCAGATTAGGACACCCCAGCAACCCCATCAGCTCCCTCCCCTCCCCATCCAACAACGCCAAGCTAACAGCGTACTGCTCCCCTTTCAAAAACGCGCTCGTCCCGTCAATGGGATCCATACTCCAGCACCTCTTCCCCCTTGTCCCCCTCCCACAGCCCAGATCAATCAACCCCAGCATCTCGGGTATGCTCCCCGGTCGCGGGCCCAGCAACGCCTCCGCGGCAGGGTCCGAGAGGTAAGTGGTGGAGACGAGATCAAAGACCTGGGAGCAGAGGTCGGGGTTGTGGCGGAGGGAGGAGGAGTCCTCTTCCCCGATGAAGGTGTCGGACGGGAAATGGTGGTGGATGGTGGAGATGAGGAGCGCTTGGGAGGCAAAGTCGGCTATCGTTACCGGGGAGGCGTCGGGTTTGGCGATGGAGAGGCGGCGGGAGGAGGGGTCGTAGGTTGGGTTGAGGCAGGTGGTGGTGGAGGGGAAGAAGGGGTGGCCGGTTACGGGGGTGGAGGGGCAGGTTGTTGGTGAGGGTGAGGGGTTGTTGTTGGAGGTGAGGGTTTGGAGGACGCGTTTGGTTAGGAGGGAGGCGCGCTGGATGGCGAGGGAGGCGATGAGGAGTTCGTGGGTGAGGTTGTGGGTGCTGTTATTTTGGTGGTGGTGGTTTATGAGGGTGGTCTCCTCCAAGGGGAGGAGGAGGGGTGGTGGTGGGGGTGGTGATATGTGCATCTTGTATTACGGTGTTGTTGATTCTGATAAACTTCAGAGTGTGGAAGATGAGAGTGGTTGAATGACGGCAAACGATGGATGTGTATCGTATTTATTCTTTTGCTCTCCAAATCTCATGTGAGGTCGCCTGGCCTCGAATGATGATGAGGGCATCCCGGTTGGCGGCCGCGAGGCCTGTCATGGGAGCTCATTGGCTGGCCACACGTGATGGGGCCGTGTCGCCGGGACAGCCAGTGGCGAAGCACGAGGCGCAGGACAGGGACAGGGAGAAAAAGATCAATTTCCCATTTTCCAGCGAGCGGGCTGGTGGGGCAAGAGATCTCGCTGCGTCACGTGTTGCCAAGATCCAAAAAAAAATATATATATAGATATATACATATATACATGTATATATATATATATGTATATATACTCTCTCAAACACAAGCAACCACACGACGGCACGACGACACACGTCCAAGGCTCAAACCATCTGGGAAGCTCGCGACGGCAACATCCCGGAAAATGATACCTTTTCAGATCCCTCCTCGCCCACCATGCTGATACTGCTATGCCCAACCCGCCGGCTCCCAGCTGCTACTGTCGTGGCCTCTCGACTGAAGCTTGCCAATGCTCGGCCGCAGCGGAGATGGCTGAATTTGTGGCTACACAGCAAGGACAAGTGGAAGACTCTACCATGGGACCAAACAATCTATCTTCGTTTGCTCAAGGAACACGAAGAGGCAGTGAAAGCAAAACGTGACGACGTAGCCTGGGGCCTGCCCTCAAGGCCATACATCTACAAGCGAGGCATCGTTGTGCATGCCTTGAATCTAAAGCACTATGTCATCTTGCTGGACCGCGTGTCGCTGTCAGTGAGGCTGGATGATCCAAAACAAGAGCCAGTCTTGACGGTGGACGTCTTCATGGTTTGTTTTTATACCCAATCATCTTGTCTTGCACGGCCGACTAATACGCAGCGTTGGCCGTCTAGCTTACTAGCACTGGCGCTTTGAATGCGAAAAACAACCATTTCAGCATTCGCTGGTCCGACCTTGACAGAGAACCCATGCTGGGAGATCAGGATCCCTGGCAGCTGACCCCCACCATCGAGTACGAGTTCCGACCCGAGGAGAATCCCAACCTCCCGATCACCAAGGTGGCCCGCATGTTCCAGAAAGAAGTCAGCCGCCCTGTCTTGGCACCCGGGGCACTCACCATACCGGTCAAGCACTTGAGCACTCCGCTTCCCCACCGCTGGTTTGCCTTGACTAGAGAATCAATCGACCGCCTTGACCCGACAGGCGATCATGGCCCGGCCACTCGAGAGTTTCTTTCCTTTTGTCCGGCGTTTGGGGAACCCGCTGTTGGTCGTGCCGACGCCTATTACCACGGCCACCAGAAGATATACTTGCCGCCGGGTCGTTGGCCCTTTGAAGACCGCACAGCCATTGTCTTTTCACAGATCGAAAACACAGAGGACGAAAAGCGGCGCATGGCTGCTGCTGCGAAAAGGCTAGCGCAGAAGTTCAAGGAGACGGGGCGGGTTCGTAGCACAACAGTAAAGCAGCTCTGGCTAGCCGAAATCATCAAGAAGGCATGGCCTCCGAAGGACTATTCCAAATTCCTCCCGGAAAAGGCAGAGAACCACTGCAGAGTGCTCATTGCCAGAGCACTGGAGAAATGGCGTGGAACGACAATCGTGATCCACGTATCGACAGAGCTCCCGCAAAAACCGACCCGGCTGCTATTGGAGGAGGTTTCGGCAAACATGAAACAAGACACAGTTGTTATCGTCTCGTTGATGGGCCGGAGGCTATACGACCGCATCTTTAACCACTGGGACGAGAAAGTGCGCGAGACGTTTGCGACCGAAATCGTGTTCAAGCCGCCTCTGAAACCGGCACCCGTCGTCGAGGAGCCAGTGCCCGAGACTACCGCTCAGGAGGACGAAATGCTCAAACGACTCATGGAAAAGTTCCTCTCCCAGAATGAGCAGAGGAAAATGCGAGAGCGAGAAGAAGCTGAGAAGGCACGGAGAGAAGAAGAGCGTCAAAGAAAGTTGGCCGAGGCTCGGAAGAAGGAGGAGGAGGAGCGACAAGCTAGGATACGGCACGAGAGGAAGATGGAAAAGGAAGCCGAGGAGCGACGGAGAGCGGCCGAGCGGGAGCGGCTCAAAATCCAAAAGGACGTCGAGAGCATGTTTGAGGCTGCAGTTCAGTATGAGATCGACGCCTCCCTGCGCAAGGAGGAGTCAGTCGGTGAACGCGTCTTGGTCGATGACGCCGAGCACGCTTCAGCCGATGACGCCGAAAATGAGACCGAGGAGGCTCAACTCAGCGAGGGCTCCATCAACATCAAAAATGGCGCGATTTGCATCGAGACGGAAGGCTCTATTGACGTGATGGGCGGGTTCCTGAACAAGCGGGACGGCTCCATCATCATCAAGACCGGCTTCGTCAACATGGTCAGCGGCGACATTGACTTTCTGCACCGTGACGACCGGAAGCGTTTCCAAGAGGATCTCGGCACGGTGTCCATCAGTTTTGAAGATGGTGTTTCTCGTCGGGGGATCAACGTCGACGACGCTGATGGCAATCCGGACCTGATCAGCCTCACGGACGCGAAGATCAAGATCACCGAGGGTTATATCGAAATCAACGACGGCTCCATCAAGGTCACCGGAGAGGAGGGTTTGGCCCACGCCAAGAAGATATTGAGTTCCATCAGAATCAAGCGGGGCGCAATCCACATCATCGAGGGGTCCGCCACCTTCACCGACGGGCAGGACGACTTTATCAACTGCTCATTCGACATCAAAGAGACCACTCTCGGCTTCAAGGACGGTTACACCGACATCGAAGCCCACAAGGACATGTACTCTACCCGCGACTGGGGCCGAGGCTATCAGCCCAACGTCGATGGCAGCAGCGATTCTACCAAAAGCTGGAGCTACGATCTGCCGCAAGACAAAGCCAGGGAAAGAGTTCGCAAAATGCAGGACGACATTGAGGAAAAAGCAAGGGAGCAATGGGCGGCAGAGGAGAAAAAGAGGGAGAGAGAGGAGCAGCAGAGGAAGAGAAAACTGGAGGAGGAGGAGGAGGAGAGAAAGAGGAAACTGGAGGAAGAGGAACAAGAGCGGATCAGGAAGGAAATGCTTGCCAGAAAGAGGGAGAGCCTGCGGAAGAGCCTTTCCACGACGTTTGTCACTGACAGCAGACGGAAAAAGAAGGACTAATGATGCTGATGCTGCCTGGGCTGGCGTGACATTGGAAAAAGGCAAGACAGCTAGAAGTTTGCTCGAGTGTATAAGAGAATATGACAATATGAATCCCCATTCCATCAGTTATTTTGACATCAGCAAGTAGGTACAAAAGAACCAATAAGAAGATATATAAAAAGTGATATGTATGTCCCCCCCCCCAAAGACCAGAGGACCAAGAATTACACCCCAAAAACCCAAAACCACAGTATTAACCCCCCCCCTTCA